GGGGGCAGCGGCGGGGCCGCGGCGACTCTGCCCGCGGGAGGCCCGGCGGCGAGGGGGGACACCCTGCTCGCCCGTGGGGTTTTTTAAGTTCCTTTTCACGGTCAGCCGGAGAGACAAAGTGTCTTCTTCCCCTCCTCCCCTCTTCCCACGCCGCCCTCCCGCCGCCCCCGGCCCGCGCCTGTGGGCGGTTCTTCCTCCGCCGTCCGATGTCACTGTCCCTCCGTTGGGTCCTGGGTCTCTCCGTTGCCCCCGCCACCGGTGCCCCGCCGGGTTCGGCCCTGACCCGGCGGCAGCCGCCGCCTCCGCACCGCGGATCCGGACCCTGCAGGGCCCGCGCCTCTCACGGCCGGCGGCCTGTATTTATTATTAATTAATTAATTATTATTAATTATTATTATTACACCGTCCACGCAGTTTTTAGGCATCTCCGTTAGGGTTTTCTAATTTTATTTTAAAAGGCACAAACTATAGCTCTTAGTTGAATGTCGCCAGGTATGCTTTCTCTTTTTCCGTGTCTTTCTACAACTGTGTTCTGTGACTCAACTGTATAGTGTTAATATCAGTACAGACTTGTCTAGTTGACCGTATAAATAATGTTTTCCCTTCTCGTAGTCTCTATGGCGTGTCTTTATGGAGAAATAAGGTTCTCACGGGTTCGGTTACCTTTGCGTTTAGAGACACCAGGTTCAGGCAATTATATATATTTTTGTTATCGGTTGCATGTCGTCTCATTTTTTCTTTTCCCTACCTGTTGGAATATGTTTGTGAGCATAATCGTCATAAAATATGTTCAGGGTTTTCAGATTTATTTATATGTGGTTCAAATGAATGCTTCTATTTAAAAGGGGAAATATTTCTACATGTGCATATAGTTTTCCAAGAGTGTACCATTAATTGATTGTTGATAATAAAAACCAAAAGCAAACATAGCTACGGTGTTCTTCCGACTTCTTGTTAGGGTTTTATTCGGAGGGAGGTCTTGGGGTTATTTCTGACAGAGATCAAAAGCGCACATCGCAGAACCTCGACTGAGTCATGAAAAGGAGATGTGCTCAGCAGCATCAATCTCCCGTTACCATCAGGAAGACCGTAACTGCGGGTCCCATCATTACTGGCTAATTTTGCCCTTATTAATTATTTGAAAACAGGCTGATTAGGGGGAGGAACATGCGTCAGATCTGACCTTTCGTCACTACCTCGAAAATCGGAGATGGTCAATATTAAGCGATATCCGCTAAAAGGAAAACAAAAGTGGCACAAACCACAGGCCCGGTTTGCCATTGGGTGCAGCATCCCGCCGGTCGGCGGAGAACCTTCGCCAGCCCTTACACACACAAGTGGAAGGTCGAATCGGCTTCGCAGCTCTGCAGCTTTCGGCAAACGGTTCTGCTGCAGAATGCGGGCGCAGAGGGCAGAGGGAGGGGCTGCCCGCGGGGACTGCGCGGCTACGGGCTTGGCTCCCATCAGGGCCAGGAATGGGCTAGCGGCCTCACATCCCCAGGGACCTGTGCTGCTTGCAGGGTCTGTCGGCGGGAGCCGGGCCCGGCCCGGCCCTGTCCTGCCCCGGGGCAGCGGACGGCGGGACCGACGTGCCGGGCCCCTGCGGGGCACCGGGTAGCTGAGCACACCCGTCTCTCCAAGCCGAGCCAGCACCCCGTTCTCCTCGAAACCCCTCAGGCAAGGGTGAGCCCCCTTCCCCGAGAAGAGCCGGGGTCGCCGCTCATCCCGGTGCCGCCTCCCGGAGCTGTCCCTGCAGCCGGGCACTGGTGGGTTAGCTGTAGGGATACCGGGGCAATGAACTCTATCTGACTCTGACATAGAGTTAAAAAAAAAAAAAGAAAAGGGAAAAAAAGTCTGTGGGTTTGGCAGGGAAGCAAACTTGGCAAAGGCGTTGTCATCTGCAATGTGCGACATCTGCATGGTTGGAGGGCTGGGGAGAGCACCATTAAAAATATGGCAAATGGGACAAGTGCTGTTTCACTAATAAAATACTTCAATTATCAGTTTTAAAATGCTCTAATAAAATATGCAGTGTATTTTCTGAAGAAAAAAATCTGAATGCATTTCTTGAATATATGTTTTGTTATAATGTGGGCAGATTTTGCCATTTTATATTTTCTTCCAAAAGTCATTCCATGACCTAAGAATATCTTTGTTAGAAGTAAACGGACTGTCTCTAGGAATTACGCAGCTGTAGACCATGGCTGAAGTGACCTCTGAGTTTTTATAGAAGGTGAGACCTGTATCACAAGTAAAGCAAGCAAGCAACCAAAGGTAATTTAAAGATATCTCTCCTGGTCAGGCCTTGCTGTATGAAGATGATCAGCTTTCATTTTATGATGTGCAGTTTTGGTTTGAAAACATTAAGAGATGACAACACACTATTTCTTTGGGTATTTTTTGCCAACTTCGCTATTTTATCTGCTAAAACTTGGGCTTTATTTCTAATACAAAGGCTTCAGTTTCCAACAGTGGATATAGTTGCATATCAGCTAGGCCTCTTCTCTCTTTTGATTTTACTACACTGTAAACTGATTTGCATTTTGACCTGTTTTCTTCCTGCTAAACCAAATAGGCTGTGTCATTTACATCTCCCACACTCCCTAAGGTTCAAACTTATAGAATTTTTCCAGAGCTAGAACCACACTCTCCTGTTTCTGAAGATACCTTGCAGAAGGGGTACTGGGATAGTACCAAGCACTGCTGTGTCTCTCTCAATAATGGTTCATACAGAGCTAAGATCACCTCTCTCTTTCTGATCACAATTTTCCACTTAGGTATATAAACTTCTCATTAGTTCTTTTTGGTAACTTCTGCTTTGCCACTGACCCATAAATCCTTTCCTGAGCTGCTGCTTTCCATGTTCTGGTCACCCACACAGTAAAGGGAACCATTGCAGGCCTGAGATATGTGGCACACACCATTTGTAAGGAACAGTGTGCCCATGGCAGACCAGTTGGAATGGTTAATTCAAACTTCATAATTGTTCAGTCAGGAAGAAATGGATTGTTTGAAAATACGTGAAGTTTACTTCCGCTCCCTGCAAAGGTAGGAGGTTAAAAAGGAGTATTAGCTAAATAAATAACTTATAGGATTGCTGCTGACCTTTACAAGCACAGAAGCTAGATGAGGCCCATGGGGTACTCAGCAGGAGTCCAGGCATGAAGAGGATGTCAAAAAGCTGCTCTCCAGTGGCACCAGTGAAAGTCAAATGGGCAAGCTAATCCATAACATCAAGAGGTGCTTTGGGGCTCACAAGGTGAGGAGGTCTGGGCAAAAGGACCTAAGAAGCCAAAAGATGCTGCAGTAAAGAATTGAGATTTTGTTATTTTTGTTGGTTTTACCCCCTCCCATAGTTCAAATAAAGAATTGTTTTATGATCCAACTCAAATTCAATATGAACACATGTTGTGTTCTGAAGAGTTCAGAGATAAATTCACATTGTATTTTTGAAGCAACTTGAGTGTTTTATTGTCTGCTCTTCTAAATACCAAGAGTTAGAATTCAGGTCTAATGTTGAATTTGGCTCTTGCACACACTTTCACTTTTTTCTCTCCAACACATGAACAGAAAGAGTAATTCCTGATTGCAATATGAATCTCTTAGATGGATGCATGACAGTGTAAACATTAATTTTGCTACTAAGGAATATGAGACCAGCATACAGTAAAAACACAATTAATAAAAACAATCTCTTTCGCTTACAAGTAAATGTCTCTAAATTGTTTAATCTTTATATATTGAACTTATTTAGTGGAGTTCTGAAACTATTACCAACCAGTGGGAAAAGGAGATTTCATGAAAAGTGCCTGTGGTCTATTAGAATATATTATTTAAATTCTCTTTTTCTCTCATCTTTTTTTGACATCATTGAAGTGCACCTAGCAGGAGTCCCCTGAATAAGCCAGTCTCCAATCAAGGCCAGCAAACTTATTGCTGCAGTCTGAAGTGTGAGCTCTTTCTGAAGTCAAAATCTTGGGTTTCTTTACATGGGAAGGATCCCCACTGTACAGAGGGGGAACAAGACATGAAGATCACTAGTAATTCCAAGATGCCTACTAAACTAGTACCTGTCTGTAACTCTTGCTGCACATTTAGCATGAAGCATTAAGAGTCAAATATTTATCTCACCTGTAAAGCAGATCAGTGCTATGAAGGTCATACAACAATGGGAGATGAAGCCTTCTGTTTCTGCTATCAGTTTCATTTGGTCTTTTACCAGCTATCACCCAGTGACTGTTATGAAATAAACTGGTGGCTTCATCCCAGGTGCTACTAAAATCCATCTCCATCTTAGAAAAACAACTTTGTGCCTTGTACTTTAGGCAAGAGCTCATTAAGTATGCCAAGGAATGATTTGAGAGGAAAACCATCTTCTTGATTTG